TGAGAACTTTATGATTTTGTTTATTGCAACTGTTAATTTTATTTGTGGTTTCTCTGCTAAATTGACTTGCGCATTTCTTGTTTATAAGAAGCAATGGAGAACTTATCAGAGTTTAACACTTATCGAGTCAGTAGACGACTGTAGCTTCTCATTTTTTATCAGATTAAGTTTTAAAGGGTACCATTGTAAATCGGGCATTGTCATCTTTGGATGGATCGGGTCACTTGAAATTACGCTTTCAGATCCCTTTAAATAGAATTTGACTAACTAGGCTATGAGGGTGCTTCGCGCCCATCTTCTATTTAAATTGTGAACACGTTCTTTCTGTTTACATTTAAAACAAAAAAGAAAAAAATGTTGCGGATTTTTAAAAAAAAAATCGCGGATTTTCAAGAATTTCTATTTTTTACAAAATTAAAAACCTTTAAAACACAATTTTTTAATTTTCATCATTCATAAACCTTTCCTGTGGTCACGTGATGTCCCGCAAAAAATGTGAGCCCGATCGGTTAAGCCGTTTTGACGTTTATTGGATACAAACAAACAAACAAACAAACAGACAGACAAGCCAAATTTATATATAGATGATAGTGTGAGAATGAATGATAACAACAAAACCCTGATGTGATTCCAAAAATCTTTCTCATTAAGCCATTAATTCACTCCCCTTAATACACTTAATGATTGAGTTAATTTATAGATGCTACGAATTCTTCATATTTGAATACGCGGACATAATTAAATTGTTCCGAAAAACATCCTTTGATTTAAAAAATTAAATAGTTTTGGTTTTTAGAAAAAAATTTGTCGTTCGAGTATGCAATAGTATAAAGTCCGCTTTAAAGCATGGCTATTAGATATAGATTGAAGTAAATTCTTGAAAACTTATTTGAAAATAAAAAAAATATCTAAAATGATTTGACTTTTGTCAAGGTTTCCATGAAAACAAGATATTATCATACTTAAACAACCCGTCATACCATAGGCCTCTAATCACTAAACAACGAAAAGTTTAACAGACGAAATAATCATGATTAACGAATCCAATCTCTAAGGAGCAAATTATAACAATTAATCACTTTCACAATTTGATTATTTGAAAAAAACTAACTTTCACTGTACTAGAAGAAGACACAAATCTTTACGATACCGTGCTATGTTGTAAACTGAGTTAAAATCACTAGTCTGGTTCCAGTGTTCAATGTCACCCTAAAACCAGTTTCCCTCGGGCCGGTACCCTCCAGGGAACCAGGGGAATGTATTCTTTACATTATCACTTGTAAAAATTCTTCATTCATCTTCAATAAAATCATAATCAAGAGATTCCAAAAGTTTTTTATGAAACAATATTGAATTGCGTAAATTTTCCCCTGGCAACCATCATAACAATCGAAGAGACCTTATGAGACCCCTGGTGTCAAAAATCTGCAAAATTTACATCACCATTAGTATTTTATTGGGATTTTGGGGGGTAACGAGGTGTTTTGGGCAAGGCCTATGTTGCAACATATGGTATAATAATATTACGGTTTTACGTATTAGTCATATACTCTGAGATGGCTTCAATCAATTAGTCTAGATCGTCTTAGCTAACTTACTAAATATATTTTATTTTTAAAGGTGTACAATCCCGTAAAGAATGATATTCCGAGAGAAGACTGAACGGAATATACATGTTTCTTTTTCATCATTCCTTGCACCTTAAACTTCATTCTAATTCTTTGAATAAGCTATTTAATAAAACCATATTGAAATATAGATGAAATATATAGCTAGGTTTATACGATCATCACCCAGTAGGGAGGGAACCCCCAGACCTCATGAGCCTCTGCTATGCAGACATGAGCCTCCTAGATTTGCTAGGCAAACCGAGCCTCGGTTATACAGAGTAGTTTCCTTAAATCTCTTAGTTTTTAAATGTAGCAAAGAATTTTTTTGTACTTTTTCGACATAGTGGCATAAAAAGTTTTTAAAAAATCAGAAGTATTAATCAATTATTATAAATAGCGACTAGTTATGACTAATAAAGTGGTTTATAAAACTTTAAACATTTTCTACTCAAAAAGGAAAACATTTGATTTAAGTGATACATTTTTTAAAATTTTTTATCAGATTAAGATAATCAAAATTTGACATTGACAAAAAAATTCTCTAAAAGGTTATTGATTAAATCAAAGATTAAAACAATATAAACTAAGTTCAATTCAGAAACGAAATCTCAAATAGCCTCCTTACTGCGTCAGAAATGTTTTATTGTAAAACATAAAACTTGTAAACCACTTTATGAGTCAATATAAGTTACAAATCACAACAATCAATAAACTAAAACAATATTATTCTTAAGTAAAATTCTTGTGCCACTATGTTAAAGAAAAAAAACCAAGAATTATAAGGAAGCTGTGCTGCATATCCTGTAGTTCAAATCAACACATTACTTGCTCATTTGAAATATTTTTCTATAAATTTAGTTTTTTAAAATTTTGTTATAATTCATGAGGTTAGGTCATGCAATTAAAGATTAGTTTCAACAATTACAAAGAAATATTTCAAATGAACATAAAAAAACGTTTAAATGAACAAAAATTAGTTCAAATGAACAAAAAATTAGTTCAAATGAAATATTTCAAATGAACATATATAAATAGTTCAAATGAGCCACACAGTTTTTTTAAAGAAATAGTTCAAAAACAAAAATATTTTAAATGAACACAAAAATAGTTCAAATAAACCAAAAATTAGTTCAAACGTGTGTATTAGTTATAGGGTTAGGTTAAGTTCAGACAATTTCTGGGCCGAGCGCTGTGGCTAGGACTGCAGCTGCTAGGGGCCCAAGCACTGCAGCTTATTTCAAATGAACATAAAAATAGTTCACATGAACCAAAAAATAGTCTAAAAACCTGTTTGTGCCTGTTTCATTACACTCATAAACTTATTTGATTTTTTTAAAAACACGTTTTTTTATGTACATTTGAAGTATATTTTTTGTTCATTTAAACTATTTTTATGTTTTCCGAATTTCATTTTAACAATTTTTTTGTTCATTTTAACTATTTTTGTTCACTTGCACTAATTTTAAGGGTCATTTAAATTATTTTGTTAATTATAGTTAAAATGAACAGTATAATTCGAATGAACAAAAAATTGTACAAATGAGTATGAAACAAACTCGTTTGAACTATTGGTTGCTTAAATTACTCACTTGGTAACACGTGCAGTAGTTCAAATGAACAATAGTTTGACTAAACAATAATTCAAATGAACAATAGTTCAAATGAACAATAGTTCAAATGAACTCCCCCCGACAAATGCTCTCGTACGCCCCTGTTACCCTCCCAATCATTTACTCCTTCCTCTCTGTCATCCTGCACTCCTTCCACTCCCTCATCCTATACTCCTTCAACTCCCTCGTCCTATACTCCGTTCCCTCCTTAAATTCTATACTATTACTCCTTAGTCCTTCTCCCCTTAGTTCTTAATTTACTCCTGTTATCATTGATCTTGTTCTCCTGGCTTCTCTCCCTCCTATAAAATCTCCTTTTCACATGTTTCACCCTTCTACTACATATACTGCAAAGTACTATACTGAAGGAGAAGGTGAACATAACTGTTATTACTCCTACCACTTTGTGACCTCCTAGCTCTCTGATATTGAATTTACATACAAGTTAAACAAAAGCAAATCTTTCCGGCTACAGTACATATCAGAAATTCTAAATTTTTATAAATTCTTCTCAATATCTTTTCAACACGAGTATTTACATGGTTGAAAACATATAATATTTAAATCTTATACATGATTTATTTTAGTTTTACGTTTATAAGTTGATTGATTGATTAACGTTTATTTCTATATGCATCATCAAATCTGTTTTGCGGCAAGCGCGCTCCTCAATTGGTAATCTCCACCACCTCAAATAGTAATCAGCCCAAAAAAGCATAACATTAAATCGTTTATTTCTTGGAAATAAGACCATATTGACCTCTTTTAATGGCCCTATGGTGTACAATATTGTTAAAGCTTTCTTTATTGCTCCTTAGTTTCGAAAATAAATCAATAAATATACCACATAAATATATTACGTTTTTTAGTTTCAAGTTTTGCTTTAAGAATGTTTGCGGCATTTTCCTCTGAATGTTGTTTTAATTTCCTTATATAGAGAGGAAACTTTAACCCATTATTAGTGGACTAAATACTTCATTTTCAGTAGGGGGTGGGATGAGACTAATTTTTCAAAATTTTATGCTTTTTCTATCCATATAATTAGTTTTGTTGTAGATGTTAAACTCGAGTAGGTGAATATAAAAATCTAAACACTGTAAAGGTTTTTTGAAAATATCTTTTAAATGGAGATGGATATTACTTAACGTGGTGTGAGATTATTTTTAGTAAATTTTAAGTATAACTTTCTATGCATATAATTAGTTTTGTTGTAGATGTTGAACTCGAGTTGGCGAATACAAAAATCTAAACACTGTAAAGGTTTTTTGAAAATATCTTTTAAATGGAGATGGATATTACAAATTTGCGTGGGATGAGATAATTTTTAGTAAACAGGCAGCCCGACCTTTTAGTATCAATTGACGCCAATCATATGAAATGCGATCATTAAAGTGGCGAATTGGATCTAAGATTCGGCTAAAATGAACTGTGCCTTGATTCTCAGTTTTTGTTGACCAAACAAATCTGAAAATAATTTGAAAATTTAGTTTAAGTCAATACAGATGGGCCATAAAACCCCGATAGATGTCGAAAATTGTGTTAAAAGTGCATTAAATTCAAATCACAGAAAACAAAATTTTACGGTGATTACTAATTGAGGTGGTGGAGGTTACCAATTGAGGAGCGCGCTTGCCGCAAAACAGATTTGGGTGGCGGTGATTACTATTTGAGGAACTCTGGACTCCCCCTTTCTTTCCCTCAGATATTGCTTTTTAAGTGCTTTATAAATGTACCGACACGACTATTTCTATTTGTGTTGTACCGGCCTGCCTACTCACTGCTCAGCTGATATAAACTCCTCAATGTGGCCGGTATTGATGTTTAGTTCGTTAAAAATACCTGTGTTAAATAAAGCAGTGAAATTTTGTCAGTTTTTAAATACACCGGGTATTAAAATCTACAACATTCCTGTATTAAGAAAAGGTAATTTAATAAAGTTTAATTTAAACAATTTTTGTTTAAATAGTTTAACGTTGCTAAAGCTTTGTTTTTTTAAATATGCACATTTTACATTATTATATATACATATAATCATAGGGTCCGTCCTAGTATACGATTTTTGGCCCCCCCCCTTTGTACAGTTTCTGTTTTATATTACTGTATAGTGTACAGTGTACAGTTTCTGTTTTATATTACTGTATATTGTACACTGTACAGTTTCTGTTTTTTTTGTTACTGTCTAGTGTACACTGTACAGTTTCTGTTTTATATTACTGTTATAGTGTACAGTGTACAGTTTCTGTTTTATATTACTGTATAGTGTACACTGTACAGCTTCTGTTTTATATTACTATATAGTGTACACTGTACAGTTTCTGTTTTATATTACTGTATAGTGTACAGTGTACAGTTTCTCTCTTATATTACTGTATAGTGTACACTGTACAGTTTCTGTTTTAAGCTTCTGTCTAGTGTACACTGTACAGTTTCTGTTTTATATTACTGTATAGTATACAGTGTACAGTTTCTTTTTTATATAACTGTATAGTGTACACTGTACAGTTTCTGTTTTATATTACTGTATAGTGTATACAGTACAGTTTCTGTTTTATATTACTGTATAGTGTACATTGTACAGTTTCTGTTTTATATTACAGTATAGTGTACAGTGTACAGTTTCTGTTTCAAACTTATGTCTAGTGTACACTGTACAGTTTCTGTTTTATATTACTGTATAGTGTACACTGTACAGTTTCTGTTTTATATTACTGTCTAGTGTACAGTGTACAGTTTCTGTTTTAAACTTCTGTCTAGTGAACACTGTACAGTTTCTGTTTTATATTACAGTATAGTGTACAGTGTACAGTTTCTGTTTCAAACTTCTGTCTAGTGTACACTGTACAGTTACTGTTTTATATTACTGTATAGTGTACACTGTACAGTTTCTGTTTTATATTACAGTATAGTGTACACTGTACAGTTTCTGTTTTCAACTTCTGTCTAGTGTACACTGTACAGTTTCTGTTTTATATTACTGTATAGTGTATACTGTACAGTTTCTGTTTTATATTACTGTATAGTGTAATTTGTACAGAATTTGTGTTTTTTATCATATTTGTGTCATTGAGCTAAGGGAAATCGAATTTAAAGGGTTTTTAAAATCTCGATTGCTTGAACTGAATTCATAGACCCAAAAAATCTGAAAAACTTTAAAAAAAAAATCAAATCTCCGTTAACAAATGAATATATGTATATCCCTTTAATAGAATTTTTAAAAAATATATATATATATAATTCAAAGAGCTTTATTACATAGATTTTCATGTATTCAGATATCAATACCGGTAAAAGAATATGTATTCCTGTGAAAGAATATGTATCCCTGTGAAAGAATATGTATCCCTGTGAAAGAATATTTATCCCTGTAAAAGAATATGTATCCCTGTAAAAGAATATGTATCCCTGTAAAAGAATATGTATCCATGTAAAAGAATAAGTATCCCTGTAAAAGAATATATATCCCTGTAAAAGAACAGATGATAAGAAAAATTTAAGCTTCAGCTTTAGTTATATTAAACACTTGATCAAAGTTGTTAAGTAGGTAGGTAACCTAACATATAAATTAAGATTATTTAATACTAGCTCAAGTGCCCAGCGTTGCCCGTTTAATTTTTTTGAAATACTGGAAAAAATTAGTATTTTGAACAAAATAAAATTTTGTAATAAAAATCTATTTTTTAGCCTGTTACCCCCAGGTTATATGCCAAGGTTTTCTTTCCCTTAAGTGCTATTGAGAAGCTATTCTCAAATCTCAGGGGGGTGCGAAGGTCCTGCCACCCCCCTGTATGCGCCCCTGTTCATTGTTAAGTATTTTTGAGGGGTTTGCAAGTTTAGTGCACATTGTAGATTTAAGCTTCTGGACTTCATTAACGATAAAATTTTAATTTCCCTGAATCGTTAGCGATTTTATTTGCGTAAACTTTTTGCTTTATAAGGTTCTCTCAACCATAACTTTAGATTAGTACTTTGCAAAATATATATTTAATTCGGGTTAAAACGGAAATAAAATTAATTACTGAACTGTATTTGTATTTGTATTATACTAATGTTAAAAGCATTGTCCAGAATTTAAAAATGTTTGATAAAGAATAAAATTGTTAATTTTTAACTTAAGTCTAAAATTAATAAATTTATTCAGTGAACATTTTTTCTACTTCATATACGACTTTTAAAAAACAAAAGAATTGTTTTTTTTTTCGTTATCAATGTGAAATACTAGTTGGAATTCACAGCTTTCCCCGGGTTTTAAAAATTTCAGCCAATGTCCAGCCGTTTACTTAATTCGCAAAAATGTATTAATAATGATAAAACTTTTTTCTGTTTAAATATACATTTTGAGAAGTATAAATCTTCCAAGACAAAATAATAAAACGTTTCTTTAAAAAAAAAAACAATTTCAGAATTTTCTTTGTTGCTATTAATTTATTTGCGTTTTGTTGTATTTTATAAAAATTGAAAAATTTTAATCAAAAAAGTCTTTGATATTTACTTAAAATATTCAAAAAGAAAATCCCGCAGCGGGAACGTTAAATTTCAACGTAAAACTTATTTTAATTGATTAAAAATTCCATTGTTTACATAAACTACACAAAGATAAGAAACTTCAAGGAATGATTTTTCGATTTTGAATATAACATACGTTCTTAAAAATAAAAATCATTAGAATTGTGTTACCCCTCTTAATTCTAGAAATCCACAAGTTTAATCAAAAAAATCTACGAAAACTAACAATACTGTTTAAACCTCTTTATCGAAAGAAGACAACGGTTAATTAAAGGTATGTTTTATTTTGAAAATGTCTAATGTAACATTATTAGCATTGCTTGGATTTTATTAAAAGTGTTTTATTCGAAATTTGGCTTCAAGCCCATATTATATTTGTGCACGTTTACAGACAATGGAACGATTACTATTTTTAAGCGAAATATGTAAACAGCAAAACACGGCAAGAGATTTCAAGGGTGACAATATAAACTCTTTTAAATATAGTAGGAGGGGATGGAGGGGGGGGGGGTTCCAAGGAAATAATGATCATCAATTTTTTTAAACTACTGATGTTTGAATAAAAGGAACATGGTTTAAGTTAAAAAGGCAGCAACTCTGAGTTTGCTTAAATATCAAATTTCCGCATACTTGCATACCTAAATATATTTATGCACTGACTACGAGATCTCATTTTATTCGTTAATTAACATTTTTTTAATAGTATTGTTTTCAGGAGTTAAGCAGTTAGCAACAAGCTTTCATTCAAGCATGACACCAAAAAAGGTTTTTTTCTCAAACTTTTATCCAGCTCACGTTTTTTATCTTAAGTTTAAAATTTAGAAGAAAGAATAATTAGGACCATTAAAAGTGAAAATAATAAACGTTCTTCTGGCCTTTTAAGATTAGTTTTTTTCACGAGAATGCAATAACCCTTTGAATTCAATAAACGTGAATAATTGAAAACCTATTGTATGTTAAGGTTTGTATTATTGGGTCTGTTAACCTATTGTATGTTAAGGTTTGTATTATTGGGTCTGTAAACCTATTGTATGTTTAGGTTTGTATTATTGGGTCTGTAAACCTATTGTATGTTTAGGTTTGTATTATTGGGTCTGTAAACCTATTGTATGTTAAGGTTTGTATTATTGGTTCTGTAAACCTATTGTATGTTTATGTTTGTATTATTGGGTCTGTAAACCTATTGCATGTTTAGGTTTGTATTATTGGGTCTGGAAACTTATTGTATATTAAGGTTTGTATTATTGGGTCTGGAAACCTATTGTATATTAAGGTTTGTATTATTGGGTCTGGAAACCTATTGTATATTTAGATTTGTATTATTGGGTCTGGAAACCTATTGTAAGTAAAGGTTTGTATTATTGGGTCTGGAAACTTATTGTATATTAAGATTTGTATTATTGGGTCTGTAAACCTATTGTATGTTAAGGTTTGTATTATTAGTTCTGGAAACCTATTGTATATTAAGGTTTGTTTTATTGGTTTTGGAAACTTATTGAATATTAAGGTTTGTATTGTTGGATCTGGAAACTGGGGTTCAGCTATTGCTCGTCTTGTTGGTTACAATGCTGCTCGTCTTCCAGATAGATTCAACCCTACAGTCAACATGTGGGTCTTTGAGGTAATAAAGTATTTTTTTAAATTATTATATTATAAAAATGTACTTTTAATAAATGAAACCCATGCAACTCGATAGGGTGGGGGATGCACATCACAAATCGGAAGAGCTAAGGGTGATTGCGCCCCCGAATTGCGCCATTGCTTTTGTGAAGGATCCTCATCATAGGAAAAATCTAAATTTTCAATGAATCCTTCAAAAAGTCGACGCTTATAAAACGCGTCCTTTTTATCATAATTAAAAATCATGATGGAAATGTTTATATATTATTCGACAGTTAAACATTATCTATTTGTCTCAAAAAAAAAGAATGGCGCAAAAAGCCTTGACATTTGCGTTGAATGAGGGTCTCCAATCGGAATTCGGTTGCGCGAAAGTGCGCAGAACTATGCGGAATTGCGCGCAACTTATCTAGCATTGTGCTGAAATGTGCGGAAATCACATGGCCCGCAATTGTGTGCAAGTAAAATCCACTTGCATTGGAAACCCTAGTTAAAATTTAAATCGAAATGAGTAAATGCTTAAAGGAGAAATTACAAGGAAAATTAATATTTAGGAGAAGGTTAATGGAAGAAACTTAACTGAGATAATCAACACAGATCATGAGAATGTGAAGTAAGTTTATTTCTGTATATTCAATAAAGTTTTTAAATAACAGATTCAAAATTAAATAAAAATTTTTAAAAGCATTGAAGTATTCCAATATTTCCCACTTGTAACACAATACTTTGGGATTCCTGGGGTTTATTAGCGTACTTAAATTGTTTGTTAATCCTAAACGGTTTGATTGAAAGAAATTTTAAAGTGACTTAAAGGGATAGACCGGCTATGTAAGGTTGTTGAACTGAGTATGCAGTGTTGTGGAAAGCTTCTTTAGGATTTATTTGAGACATAAAAAAACTTTTTAAATATATGTATATCCTGAGTTTGAGCGCAAATTTGACGTTCAAAACTCCTACTTTTCAGAAAATCTTTGTGAATAATGAGAAACTAGAATAACAAGAAAATAGAAACTAATAATTGTACAAGATTACTTATTTTCGATGATAAGATTAATATTTATTTTCTCAACATGTTCCTAAACAGTTTATACTGTCAAGTTTTGTTTACATTTTTCGTTGCTGTTATTTAGTAATTAAAAAAACCGATTCTGAAAACGTATCTACCCCCAAAGTAGGAGTTTTGAACGTCGAATTTGCGCTCAAACTCAGGATTTACAGATCCTTAAAAAAGGTTTATATACCTCAAATGAATCCTAAAGAAGCTTTCCACAAAACTGCATACTCAGTTCAACTACTTTACATAGCCGGTCTGTCCTTATGAAATTTTATTCTTTTAAGTTCTGGAAGGTTTTAGGAGTCTTCAATAGTTTCTGTTAAAAAAAAAGAGGATAAGAAAATGACCTCCCCCCCCCTTTCAAAACTTTTAATTGATTCTCAAGGTGTCGAGTGTACACAAAATGGCTGAAATTCAAGACAGTTTTGAACAGTGTTAAAAAGTTTAAAATTTTATAATTTATACTCATTGTGTTATTGTTTAAAATGTGAATAAGATTACCCTGTTTCCGTAGCTTATTTTGTTTAATTCAAACCGTATTTTATCAACAGTTTTATTGAACTTGATAAACTTTGACGATTTATTTATTTGCAAATTTATATTTTTTAGTTTTACCCTGTGCAAATTAGATAAGACAAGCCAGGCCTTCGTGTTGCTATACTAAAAAAGCAAAAAAAATGAATTCAGAAAAAAATATGAATTCAGTGCGCTCCACGGTAAACTGGAGGTCCTGGTAAAAAGTACAACGAGCCTTAACTTGAAAACCCTTTTTTACTTATAAATGTAGATTTTTAGTTTTTGCTATTTTATACTTTTTTGTTGGAATAATGTATTTTAAATACTTAAGTAAATAAGATCTTTACGCTGTTTTGAACAGATTTTAAATAAGAGATCCAAATATGACTGAAAATATTCTAATACAGACAGGATGCACTTCACTGTAGTTGGTTTTACGTTGCTCTTCACCATCTCCTTTACTCATGTTTAATGAAGGTATCTGCCTGGACGGAAACTGCCTGAAAATGTCGTAGCTGTCCCTGATATATCTGATGCTGCTCTTGATGCTGATCTTCTTATTTTTGTTCTTCCTCATCAGTTCATAAAACGGTAGGGGAGCAGTTCATTTAACGGTAGGGGAGCAGTTCATTAAACGGTAGGGGAGCTGTTAATTAAACGGTAGGGAGCCATTCATTGAACGGTAGGGGAGCAGTTCATTAAACGGTAGGGGAGCAGTTCATTAAACGGTAGGGGGGCGTTTCTTTAACGGTAGGGAAGCAGTTCATTGAACGGTAGGGGAGCAGTTCATTAAACGGTAGGGGAGCAGTTCATTAAACGGTAGGGGAGCTGTTCATTAAAAGGTAGGGAAGCAGTTCATTGAACGGTAGGGGAGCAGTTCATTAAACGGTAGGGGAGCAGTTCACTAAACGGCAGGGGAGCTGTTCATTAAACGATAGGGGAGCAGTTCATTAAACAGTAGGGGAGCTGTTTATTAAACGATAGTTGAGCAGTTCATTAAACAGTAGGGAGCCATTCATTTAACGGTAGGGGAGCAGTTCATTAAACGGTAGGGGAGCTGTTCATTAAACGGTAGGGGAGCAATTCATTAAACGGTAGGGGAGCTGTTCATTAAACGATAGGGGAGCAGTTCATTAAACAGTAGGGAGCCATTCATTTAACGGTAGGGGAGCAGTTCATTAAACGGTAGGGGAGCCATTCATTTAACGGTAGAGGAGCAGTTCATTAAACGGTAGGGGAGCAGTTCATTAAACGGTAGGGGAGCAGTTCATTAAACGGTATGGGAGCTGTTCATTAAACGGTAGGGGAGCAGTTCATTAAACTAGGGGAGCAGTTCATTAAAAGGTAGGGGAGCAGTTCATTTAACGGTAGGGAAGCAGTACATTAAACGGTAGAAGAGCAGTTCATTAAACGATAGGGGAGCTGTTCATTAAACGGTAGGGGAGCAGTTCATTAAACGGTAGGGGAGCAGTTCATTAAACGGTAGGGAAGCAGTTCATTAAACGGTAGGGGAGTGTTTTAATAAATAGTAGGGGAGCAGTTCATTAAACGGTAGGGGAGCAGTTCAAAAAAGTTAGTGAAGCGTCTGTAACAAAAAACAATTTTGAAAAATATAGCTCGTCTGGAATAACTGTTAACCACAAAAGATGTGTGGGAAGAGGGTGCGGCAGGGGCATAGAGTTTATGTCTAAAAATTCTGTTCTTTTAATACAGTAAGAACCAGAAAACTGTGAAATAGGAAGACGACATTATGGCAATCCCCAAGCGTATTTGATGTTGTTACAAGGGAAACATTGTAATTGTAACTTACTAAATGGGTCTATTTACACTTCACAATTGCTATGTCTCGTGTTCAATGGACTATTTTAAAGTCATAACTTGAGTCTACAAGTCGTCTTCCTATTCCAGAGTTTTCTGATTCTAACTGTACATAATATATTGTTAAGGTCCTGTGCCCCCCTATGTGGTAAACTCAAACCAGATGCTAAAGGAATATCATTAGTCAAGGTAAATTTATAATGTTTATATATTCTAATTTCTAACCAGTTTCAAGAAAACATATTTTAAATCAGTTTTTACAAACCATTAGAAGGAAGTGTGCATACACAAGGCAAGGGATTTGGGGTCTGTGAAGAAGGTTTATTGATTATTCAAAATACTCTATTAAAAAAATTGAGTAGAAAACGTGTCTTATTGCAGGTCTAAATTTCGATTATGTTCTCTAAATATTTTAATTTTTATAACTGCACTTACCTTTATTTTTTTGTTAAATATTTTGTACAGAGATAAAAGAGACAGAACTTCCTATTCAAAATACGTAATTAAAAAGAGAAGATCGACATAATGAAAAGTGCTGATGAATTTATTAACCATGGTGAACTAGTTTATTACACTTATTAGTTCCTTTTAGTAGGGTTAATTGCATCTCCAGTCTCCACTATAGACTATAAAGGAGATTGTCAAATATATATGTGACGTCGTCGTTACGACTTATTGACCTCACAGCTTCTGCAGTACAGTACAGTGCAGTACGTGAAGTACGTGCAGTACAGGAGAGGTCAATTAATACCGAACTTATTTAACTATTTTAGGGGTTTGCTACTCCTCCTGGTGGTGGAGTCAAGCTTATCAGTGAAGTAATTCAGTCAGAGCTCAACCTTCCCATATCCGTCCTAATGGGAGCCAACCTGGCCAACGAGGTAGGAACACAGAGCCCGAAACTTAAGAAGGAGTATCGTAATCAAACCCAGTATCGGAAACCCGATTTCATGAATGGAGTCAGGCAGTTTTGTAGATACCAATATTTTTGGTAAGAAATATTATTTTATGTGGTTTCTTTACATTTTCTTTTTGTTTTCTGATTTCTTAAATTATAATCTAAGCAAATTCATAGATCCCAAATAGTAGTTTCTTTTAAAGATACTTTTTAAATATCCGGTTCAGGGGGTTGTGGGCTCACATGCATCCAACCAATCCATTTTTTGCTTAAAACACACTGGGTCCACCACATATTGGGTTCACTAGGCGGGCTAGTACGAGTAAATGTGTTAGGGTACGGTTATACTAGACTGGTAAATCCACGTTCATGAACATGTGGTAAAGGTCCGTTATTGGAACGGGTATGGGACGGTGCTTCCCACACCTGGCGGCGGTCTGGAGGGAGGAGGAGGGGTCCACATTGGGGTCTTTTGTAGATTCCATTTTTTATTGTTCTTTATATTTGTTAATTGTGAGTTTGACACCAATATTTAGAATGTGTCCATCGAACTGTTGTCGGTTCTCTAAAAAACATATAAAGGAAATGGGACTCTAAGATATTTTTTATTTAGTTTTGATTAAGGTGCCATTACCAATTCATATCGGTTCTTTTGAAACATGTTTCTAAAATTATAAAACATCTGGCTTTGGCTCTTCGAGATTAAGATATTCTCGAGAATTTTACAGCAATAAACTTGATTTGATACTTGTTGACATTCTTTTTAAAGAAAATATTTACAAATTCATTTAAGAAATCATAATAAATTTTGCATATGATGATTTGACTGTTGATTTTTACTGAATTATTATTATTTTTATTATTAGGTCGCAGATGAGAAGTTTTGTGAAACTACTATAGGAGCTACAGAACCAGGGGTAGGAGAGGATTTTAAACTTCTCTTTCAGACTTCTAACTTCAGGTTCTTTATACCTTGACTTCTACTCTGTTAAACAACTGTAATCGTAAATTCAAGTAACCGTTCTCGTATATAGAGGGGAAATCTGGTACTCTTTCAATCTGTATAATCTCATCATAGTAAAACTAGATATGTTTTTTTCTAGTATAAAATTGATTATTTTTTAATGTGTGTTCTCTTTAAACCCGACTTGCGGATACAGTGAAAAAAAAGGAAAAGAAGGAAAGTGCCACTTTTACAGATGGAGAAACGACGATAATAGCTAATTCTTGTTGTTTTCAGATGGAGATTTTAACGCTAATTCGATAATGCCAATTATAAATGAAAGGCCACTTAAATTACGTCTACAGTGTATTTTATTTATTTAAGCAAAGCTGTTTTAAACTCGGTCTTCTCCTCCCGAAAATGTGAATTTTGATTTAACAGTTTTGCAGGATAAATGGACGGAAATATTGGAAATTTTGTACAACGTACGTAAACAGTAAACACTCGTGCTCAGAAAATACTTTAATCAAAATTGACATTCAAAGCAGTTCAGATAAAAATTTTCTGATTAATAGTTAACTGTACAAAGGAATTGAGTCTTTGTAACAAACTCTGATTTTCTAATATCTATTTTTTTCAACTGATGGTGTAAACCTTTGATATTTCAAACTTAAATTTTTCATCTAACAGAATTCATAGTTTGAAATAGCTCAGGTCTACGGCATTGGATTACAAAAATAGATATTAGAAAATCATAGTTTGTGACAAAGATTTTAGATTACAATTTTGACTATAGTGTACTTTCTTCATACATTGTTTCTTATTGTAAAATGTACATATACTAGGCTTTCAGGGCGGAGCCCATCTTCTAAGTTCTATTTCAATTGTGAACATTTTCTCTTTGTATACATTAAAACAATAAAAATAAAATTCTCAGATTTTCAAAATTTAAAGAAATTAATTTGTAAATTTTGATCATCCATAAACCTTTCCTGTGGTCATGTAAGGTCCCACGCAAATGTTGGGCCCGATCGGTTCAGCCGTTTTGCCGTTTATTGACAGACAGACAAGTTGAGTATATATTTATATAAGTAAGCTGTGTTTATGCAGTATATGTATTGCACAATATATAAATGTCTGTTTAGAGTGACTGTTGTGTCTGATGCCTCTACAGTGGAGATCTGTGGAGCATTAAAGAATATAGTTGCTTGTGCTGCAGGATACTGTGATGGATTACAGATGGGAGATAATACTAAAGCAGCTGCTATCAGGTTTATTCTTACAAACATGAACCATCAATCAGTCGATCCATTCTTTCTTCTTCAACCTTGTTTCTTGGCATTTGCTCGTACCATTCCTCATTTCCTTTCGTCATTTCATTCTGGCTTCCTCCTTTCGTCATTTCCTTTTGGCTTCTTCCTTGCTTCATTTCCTTTTGGCTTCCTCCCTGCGTCATTTCCTTTTGGCTTCTTCCTCAGCTCTCCTAACTTTTACCTTTCGTATTTTCCTTTACAATTTTCTTTTCTTTCACTTCATTTTTTGTTCCTATTCAATATGCTGTATTTGTCTAGGTAAGGATGATCTGGTATATATCTAGGTTAGAATTAAAGGATATGGTCTGGTATGGAGAAAGTATATATCTTGGTTAGGATTAAAGGAGATGGTCTGGTATGGAGAAAGTGTATATTTAGGTCATGATTAGAAAATATGATCTGGTACATATCTAGGTTAGGATTAAAGGAGATGATCTGGTACATATCTAGGTTAGGATTAAAGGAGATGATCCTGGTATATATCTAGGTTATGATTAAAGGAGATGATCTGGTATATATCTAGGTTAGGATTAAAGGAGATGATCTGGTATGCACCTAGGTTAGGATTAAAGGAGATGATCTGGTAAATATCTAGGTTAGGATTAAAGGAGATGATCTGGTATATATTAAGTTTAGGATCAAAGGAGATGATCTAGTATATATCTAGTTTAGGATTAAAGGAGATGATCTGGTACATATCTAGGTAAGGATTAAATGAGAAGATCTGGTATGGAGAAAGTATATATCTAGGTTAGGATTAAAGGAGATGATCTGGTATGGAGAAAGATTCTATCCCGGTGGTAAACTCTCTACCTACCTGGAGTCCTGTGGTATAGCTGATCTAATAACTACATGCTATGGTGGAAGGAACAGGAGGGTTTCAGAGGTAATATGAGAATTTAAAAACAAATATACAGGGCTGGGTTTCAGAGGTAATATGAGAATTTAGAAACAAATATATAGGGCTGGGTTTCAGAGGTAATATAATAATTTAGAAACAAATATATAGGGCTGGGTTTCAGAGGTAATATAATAATTTAGAAACAAATATACAGGGTTGGGTTTCATAGGTAATATGATAATTTAGAAACAAATATATAGGGCTGGGCACGTTTACACTTTCTTCCGATCATTGGTTTCGATTTGTTAGAAAGTCATTGTAAAACTATTTAACGACAATGTGATTCCTAAATTTTAGCAATCCCTTTCTATGGGTTCCTCCGACCAATAATGATAAAATTCATTAAAATTTGAACTGTGTTCATAATGCAATAATAATAAAGAGTCTTGAATCTTGACATTTTAGTCGATTCTGAGAGTTTTATTTTTACAAAATAAACATTATAATACAAAAACTGAGGCCAATGAAATCCTCTCTCATAATATTTGTCTATTTTAAAAAAAACATAAATAATCTTTTAAGAAGTTTCTGGAATCAATATTAAAAATGCTGAAATTAATCTAAGTATTGATCTTAAATGGCATCTAAACAGTTCCAATTATGCAGGATTGCGTATACATCTTGTTTTATACAGGTTGCCCCAATAAACATGGGAATTGCGTGACGATTTTGATATCGTCGTTGTAAATGATTTTTGGATTCAGTATGGTGATTTCCCATGTTTATTGGGACACCCTGTATAATTCGTATAATAAATTCAAAATAAAATATATATTAGGCGTTTGTGAGAACCCGTAAACCATTGGTTGAGCTTGAAGCTGAAATGCTTAATGGACAAAAACTACAGGTACAATAACTTTTCATTTATTTAATGTCTTTATTACGAAAACTACAGGTACAATAACTTTTCATATATTTAATGTCTTTATTACGAAAACTTATTTGTGTATTTATATGTTTTTCCAGATTTTCTCATGTTTAGAAATACTTCATTTATTTATTTTCTTTTGAAGGTTTTTAAAAATTTGAAATACTTAACATCGAATTTTTTTTCTCATTTTTTAAAACATAAAACATAACAAAACAAAATATAATATTTCTGCAAGCATTTAAAGGGACAGACCGGCATATGTAAAGTAGTTAAACTGAGTATGCAGTGTTGTGGACAAATTCTTTAGGATTCATTTGAGACATATCACACATTTTAAATATCTGAAATCCGGAGTTTGAGCGCAAAGTCGACGTTCAAAATTGTACTTTTGTGTGGATACGTTTTCAGAATTGAATTTCTTATTATTAAATAACGACGACAAAAAATGTAAAAAAAAATCTATATTAAACTTATTAATTGTTTAGGAATAGGTTGAGAAAATAAAAATTATTCTTATCATCGAAAATAAGTTATCTTCTTCAGTTATTATTTTCTAAAATCTCTCTTTAATCACAAAGATTTTCTGGATTTTTATTAAAAAGACGACATTTAAAGAGTTAAAAAAAAATATGCGAACGAATTCATAGAAAATAAGAAATTCAATATAATGATGAAAATGGAAATAATTGATTCTAACTTCGATTTATTGACAAATTTTTTTTGAGAAATATGTTCCTTATCATCTAATGAGTTTAATATAGAATTTTTACTATATTTTTCGTCGTCGTTATTTTATAATTAAAAAAACGATTCTGAAAACGTACCCACCCAAATTCATGATTGTGTACGTCGACTTTGCGCTTAACCTCAGTAATTATACTTCGTGGAAACGTTTTATATGTCTCAAACGAATCCTAAAGAATTTGTCCACAACACTGCATACTCAGTTCAACTTTCATACATTGCCGGTCTGTCCCTTTAGCTCTTATAGGTAACTAATGAGTAAACGGAAGAAAGAAAAAATATAAAAATGTTATTTTATCTATTTTTAGTCTTAGTTCTTTAAAATCAGAAGTTTTCCGTTAACCTTTTCGCACATTTAGATATTCACTAAAAATTGAGAAATGAATTATTTTGTTAAAATAATTTAAAAATATTTATCCAGGGACCTGAGACAGCAGCTGAGGTTAATATTCTGCTAACACGTGAAGGTTTAGAGGATAAGTTTCCTCTCTTTACTATGGTTCACAGGTAGGAATTTCATGTTGGGATATTGACAAACTAGAGCAGTTTATTCTTGTCCTCACCTTTACTCTAGTCCTCTTGTGATGGTTCTTGTCCTGCCTGTCCTGTCTAGATGTTCTAGTTGTCCATTTTGATGTGTGTAAGAACCATGATGAGGATGATGTCCATGTTTACGTCCATATTGTCTTTTCTTCTCTTCCCCCCAACATTCATCATTTGATTTGATTTGATAAAAAGAAAAGAAATAAGATAAGAGTTTCAGAGGACCTCGGCTTAATAACGGGCATTTTAAAATAGAGGGCATTGAAAATCTATAATTTACAATCTGTAAAAGTACATATTGGAGATTCTATTTAATATTTATGCAACTATTATACTAAGGATTTGAAACAAATCTGGTATTGTGGACACATACTTGATATTCTTGATTTCTGGTATTTGAAGATCTAAGCTTTAGTAATAACTAGTAATAACTACCACATTTTAAGAAAACGAAAAACATTAGACTGGGACCAAGAAACTCCATTTCTAAAAACCGCATCTGAATAGCTAAACTATACTCATGCTAAAAGTCTTGTATTGCACCTGTTTTTGGCAAACCCTGTCAAGTGTCAAGTTAGTTTGTAAACTTTTATATTGTTTAATTTAATTTTGCTTTAGACAAATATAAATGATGAATAAAAATAATAATGACGGTCTTACCCCTGGTCTTTAATTTCAATTGCTTTTGTTGTTTCCGGATAAAAGAGAAGAGAGGGGATTTTAAGCTTAAAATGGTTTTCTAAGCGTATTTTTGCTGGGGTAGTTTATAGAGGGGTGTAGTGTTGGTACGGGGGAGATTTTTTGGTATTCCTTAGATTTTCTAAGAAATGTTTATTTTAGGATATGTACTGGAGAACAAACACCGGAGCAACTCATCAACTGCCTTAGATCTCACCCAGCCAATCTGTAGTACTGTACAGTGTACTGTACTGTACACCTATTATCAGTTTTGCTTGTACAGTTGTACAATCAAACACAGCACTGCAATTTAACAATCATACAATGTGTATTTATTTTTAATATACATTAATCTCGCAAATTATACAAACTTTTGAGCACAAATAACTTGGAAATACATAATAATTGTTTCAATATTTCAGTTTATAAATAAATCCAGTCCATATATAGTCTTCCATCATAAAGTGGTATAAAGTTTTCATAATTGTGTTCTTTTTATTATTTTCTTCAACTGTTAAAGGTGTATTTTTTAATAAACTGCAATATTATGCATTACTTAGAGCTGTATGCACAGAAACAGTGAGGGTTTATGTAAAGTTATCTAATCTACCGATATTGAAGAATATATTTTTTTTTATGACGCCATACAAATCTACTATCTAGCTTGGTAATCCAGCTCTGGTTGGAAAAAGGGTTTTCCCTTTGGGTCATTCTTTTTTCCACTCACCTACCCCCTGGATGTCACCATCTCAGATTTTGATGAAATTAAAATAATCACATATCAAGTTATGTATAAGAAAAAGAAAAAAATTAGTTCTCTGCGACCACTGGATTGAAACTTGCGAGCATAAAAATTGCAGCCCTCAAATGGACCTTGGAAACTTCAATAAGCTATAAACATTTTTTGTTTTTAGGATAATCAACTCATTGGTGGTCCAATTTTATTCCGATGCCTCTTTTTGTACTAGGTTGATCCAGGAGTTTGCTTACCTCCGAAGGTGGAAAAAAAAAAAACTAAACTAATTCATGTGAGGTATCAAACCATAGGTTATTTAGTGTTTCAATCCCATTTGAGGCCCATCTCTAACCATAGAGGATACTAAGTTTAGGTATCTGACCTCCGGAGATCATAATATAAAGATACATCAAACCATGGGTTTTGGTGTTCCTCTTCCTGACCAAAGAAAATATTGAAGGTATCTAACCTCCGGAACTCAAAATCCAAAATCAATGAAAATAAGTCTCGGTGACCTCAAAGCTCCTCTAGGGTTGACTTTATTATCAAATCGAATATAACCAGTTACATGTCAGAAACTACTCAACTTAAAACTTTTAAACAAGTTTTTCAAACATTTTTTTTAGGTAAACTTGCTCGAACATACAAACAAAGACACAATAAACACACATTTTTCAGTAATTATTTTTATTCAAAGAAAATGCAAAATAAATAGTGGACAACAGTTCATATATAGACAATGCACAATGTACATTAAAACACCATATTTAATGTTGCCACTCTACAATACAAACGCACATCCGATTTTCAATTTCAGGTAAATGTAGGCAGAAACGTACAGAACGTTACAGAGAAAGGTACAGAACGTTACAGAGAAATGTCCAAAACATGCCTAACGTTTAAAGAGTCCTTGTTTAATCTGAATCTGAACCCGAATCTTCTCCACCAGATTGTGGTTCCTGAACAATCAGATTTTAGAAATATACAAAATGTTTAATTATTTCAATTAGTCTATTTTTTACTCTCGAGGCAAATTCATAATATGAGTCAAAATTGAATTATAGTTAAAAGTATTTGAGTCAAAATTATAATTGTCTTAAAACATTTTTTTTAAAGTGAATATTTGCAAATTATCTTTTTTCCATCTCATAATCTGAGTCCGTTTCCCTTATGTCCATTTGACAGCCCAAATTTTAATTTTGAAAAATCTTCTTTGTTTGTTTATTTTCTTGTAATTTTTAACAAAAATTTCTTTTTTTACCGATTTTGATGGTTATTATATCGTTAGAACTGACGAGGGTCAACCCATACCGAAATATGTTTTCAATAAATATAGAACTAACATCTACTTTTTTACTCTACAGAGGTTTGGTCCATCACCATCACCAATTTTAAATTTAAAAATATTTTCCGGATCCAGCAAATGAAAATTTTTTATACATTAAGCTTCTTAGAATTCAAAAAACAATCCAAAATTCTCGTTTTTTTAATATCCCAATTGTATGAAAAATTTCAGCAAAATCTGTGACATGCCGTCCATAGGTGGTTGACTTGACATGGAATGACCCATTTTCCTATTTTAAAAACCTCCCAACACCCGACATATTGTTTTACACTTATTATTAAATGGCGTTTGCCGTCATTTAGTTCACATCCTCATCTTTTGTTCTACTGCTAAGATTTGTAAAGTACCTTGATATCCAAGTTGAACTTGTACTCCTGGTCACATCCCATGTAGGAGTCGCACATGAAGTACAGGGAGTAGCTGAATAAAAATAATGTAAATAAGAGTATTAAAAAATGCCATGACGTCAGCACCAAATATAATGACGGGTCGAGAAAAAATTGTCACATTTTGCAAAGAGGGCTCCTTGAGTTTCAAGTCTTGCCAACATTCGGTTTTTTTAGCCCGATCTCTACCAATTCATTGTTGTTTTGTTTGCAAATTTGAATTCAGTTTTCAGACATTACTGGAATGGTTTTTAGGAAAAAATATTGGATTTTATTCAAATAAGTTATTAGTTCAGCTTGTGTACAGATCACAGCATAGGATTAAATTTGAGCCGTGCTGCATACCAACCGGTTGTTATGGTCCATACAAAATTTTTACCAGGAACTATAAAAAAAATTATTTAAGTTTCACCATGCAAGGAAAAACTGCGCATAAGAAAGAACCAAAAAATTGGAACTTGTATAATTTAACTATTTATCACACTGTTATTTTGGTTCGCATTGTTATACAGTTTTTGGACAGAAATTTTCTCTGTATGGAGAAGGTTAAAGCCTTTTTAGATTTAACTTTGTCCCGAGCTTTAACGAGGGTCAAAGTATAATCTGAAAAGGCGAGAACCTTCGAGATAAAGAGAAAATTTCAGTCCAAAAACTTCATAACACGTCGCGCCAAAATAATGGTGCTACAGGTAATTTTATGAAACGTTTGTGTACTTGTCTTATTTCAATGGCTATTTCTAGATCAACTAAGCTTTGAAACAAAGCAGAAGTCAAAATGTAAAGTTGATTTCAATTTCATTTTCATTTCAATTGAAAAAAATATTTTGGAAATATCATAAATTTTTTGGAGAAAATCCAGGAACCAATCAAAACTTTACAGCGCATGCTAAAATGTACAACTAATTTAACTTTATAGCACGTTCATTATGATATTCAAGATGAAGTGAGGAAGAATGATAAAGTATACAATAGTTTCATAAATTGATTAATTAATAAGTTAATGAAAATCAAACAATAAAATAATCCAACCTGTAATTTCCTGGTCTTGGCGCAACGAAGTCAAGCTTAAACTTGGCTTTCTGTTGCAGGGTTAAACGTTTAATAGACAGCAGACTGTTGGATTTGGAGTCTCCGATGATGACCCACCAGCCCTCTTCACGTTTAGTTGGGAAGAATGGAGCTATGACAGGGCCGGTCACCTCATCTTCTCTTTCCAGTTTCACCTGGTAAAATACAAATACAGATCAAGAATTCTCATTCTAGGGTGTTCAACGAACGAAAGACAATGCAAAAAATTTCTTTAATATTTCGCAAACTTTTTTGCGAAAGTTAATAAAGCAAGAGGAAGCGAAAACCTATTTTTATTCGCGAGCAACAATTCAAAAATTTTTTCTCTCGAAAATTTCAAAAATATTCGCGAAATTTTAGCGAAAAATTTGCGAAACTGTCTCAATTGATACTTTTATGTTGTAATATGATCTAAGATCTACCAATTTTAAATACAAATTTTCAAGTTCTGATGCAAAAATGCAACCTAAATGTCCCATCTTAGTTCGAAAATTTTGCTTTACAATTGACCCAGTAATAAAACCCTTAGAACCCTGTCCAAATAAACATAAGGACCCCCCCCCCCACAAACAAAAACTCCTCTGAACTGTATAAAACCATCACTCTTAAAAAATTCCTGATCTAAATATAAAAAGAACACTGTAAAATCAATTTTTTTTAAAATGCGAGATTTTCAAAGATACAGTTGTCATTTATTACTAAAGGTATATTGGCCTAATGCTAATAAACCTAAAGCCTAAATGGGTATGGAAACCAATACATCTTGTTAATAATACTTTTCTACGAGTTTCCTTAAAAATAGTTTTGATGTAATGTATAAATAAATGTAGGTATAACTACAAAGACTAAGTTTGTTTTGAATCTTGATGACAAAAAACAATTTCAATAAATGACGAGGGTCAACCCAGACCGAAATATATTTTCAACAAAGTGTGGGACTGGCATTCCTTTGTTTGGTCCCTTATTATTAACGAACTTTGAACAAGTTGAAACACTTCCCTTCAACTTAAAGGGAGTGTTCGCGAAAAATGAAAGGGGGTATAGGCTTAATGCGATAAAAAAGCGCTTTTGATTAAGAAAGGTGCAACATTCAACTCGGATCGTAAACAAATCAATTTAATTCCAAACAAATCATTCAGATATTACAAACCGTAGTCATCGATTATTTTTCGAAGCATTTGTATATTGTTCATATTTCATAATATTTTTTATTTTGTTTTTTCTAAATAATTTTCGCTGGCGCTGGATTTTCGAACATTCCTGGAAAATATGAAACTGTCGTCTTCATTATCAAAAATCCTCGCAACAGGAATAAATGTTTTCAAAAGTAACTCTCAGATCATGAAAAATACAAAATATTATGAAATATCAAGTATTTACGAATGAGTAGAAAAATAATCGATGACTATTGTTCGTAATATCTGAATGATTTTTTTACGATCCGAGTTAAATGTTGCATCTTTCTGAATTTGTATGGACACTACGTTCTTCGGTGTGAGTCGTTTTTAACAATTTTCTCCTTACAGACGCAACAGATAGAAGTAATATTAGTAGCAATCAAAAGCGCTTTTTTATCGCATTAAGCCAATACCCCATTTAATTTTTCGCGAACACTCCCTTTAAACCGACGCAAAAGAGAGGTGGTTCAACTGCCATTAAGAAGTTGAACAACTTAACGCCATTGATTCAATATGATCCCGGCTCTGTTACTTACCTCGATATTAACACTAGAACCTGAGTGAAGATCTTCCTTGTTGTGAACTTCATACTGGAGTTCAATATTAGGATACCTAGACAATATACAAGTTTAATATTGATAAATAAAATAAAGATATTTTCTTCCACTGATCAGATAAAATATTCAAAGGAACCGTTGTAAATCAGGAATGTCCGTTAATAAAAAAAACCTGACCGTTCCTTAAAAAAAATCAAAGAATAAAAAACAAAAATGAACCGATTTTTACTTCGATCAGTGTAATAAAAATAATAATAAAATAATTTAGTTTAATGCAATAAAAAGGGTTTACTACCTGTTGCAGAACCTTGCTACATCAGCCATCTGTTGGTCGGACATACTCAGGAGTTTATTCCTGTCTTCATCTTCCATCTCCATTATATCAAACACACTCTCTACTCCCTTCTCTACACTTCGGTCTATCACCTAAACAATTTATTCAACATTTAGGAACATTAACATGATATTCATTTTGCGCTAACTTTCCAACCCCCACCCCCCTAATGAATTTTTTTTTGCAGACTCATAAATGAAGATAAACTCAAGCAGACCTAATGTATTCAAACAACGAGCATTGCAATTTTAACCTTGAAAGAAAACCTTACAAAGATGAGCATGCAGTTCAAAAAATTCAAAATTGAGAAGAGTTAGAATTCCTATTCAAATCAGCCAGAAAAGTGTTAGCTTTACTATAAAAAAAGATCAACTATCATTCGTAAACGCCAAAGGAAGGAAAAAATTAATGTAATATTTAATTAATGACACAAGTCTAGTGTGAATAGTTTAAAAAGGGGGTTTATTTGGACCAATTTTGCGGATTTTTGCTTTGGACTCAATTCCCAAATCAAATTAGGTGATCTTTAAGTTGTGTGTGAGTCATTGTAAAACATTGTTTTTTTTTCAGCAAAAATGCGCAATGTAGAAACCGGAGTGTTTCTAAGAGCATGAAAGATGTAACCCACCTCCTTGTTGAAGTGTGGCAGCTGCTTGAGATACGAGTCCTTGCTCCACATAGCCTGGGTGACCATCTGGGCCAGCTCCATAGCTGCAATAGCAGGGCTCAACCAACCATTGCTAGAGAGTACATCAACACAAGCCTGGATCAACCTACACAGAAAACACAGATATTATCACCCATTTTCTAACTGAAAATGATTGCTACATCCAAAATTATTCTTTTTATAATTCTCTGAATTTTTAATATTTCCTCTCAAATTTCGATGAGTTTACTTAAAATAGAACCATAGCGATATGGGCTCGAGAGTTAAAAAAAACTATATTGACGATTAAAAAAATCAAAAATAAATAAATTTACCAAAATCAAATCAGAATACATTTTTTCCAACTTCACATTAATTCCTACCTTATTGCTTTTGAGAGGATTATCTCCGTATCTTGTTGTAACTCAGCACTCAGTTGCATTCTACAATACATAGATTCGGTTTAATACACAGCTTTAGTGTCCTATTATCAGCATTGTGTCTAATTTCCAGTGAAATTAGTCCAATGTCCAATACACAATTTCGCCGTCCAATGTTGAAGTTCAGTGTAAAATGTCCAGTGTCCAATGTCCAGTGTCCAATGTCCAGTGTCCAATGTCCAATGTCCAGTGTCAAGTGTCCAGTGTCAAGTGTCAAGTGTCCAGTGTTCAGTTTCCAGTGTCCAGTGTCCTGTATCCAATGTCTAGTGTCCATTGTCCAAATTATTAGTTACCAAAAATCCGCCCATCATTTTTTTTAAACTCGGAGAGATCTAGTATTTACAGCTCTAATAGTTTACCTGGAAAGATGCGCCTGCAGAAGAAGGTTTGCCTTTACATGAGGATCATTGAACTTGGCTGACTGCAGTTTGTTCGGTAACCTGAACATAATCTAAAGTCTACACCAGAAGTTAAAAACTTTGCCTCCCAAAAAATGCATTAAATTTTCAACAAAGACGGGAAATTATGTGAAAATTAATAATTACATTAGAGGCATGGGCAGGAAAGCCATATTTAAAAGCTGAATTTATCACAAAAAACAGAACTGCTCTAAAATCCTTGCATTCTAAAATTTAGAACTAAGCATTTGTATATTTTAAAAATACTAGGTTATAAAATTGTGAACATTTTCTCTTTGTATACATTGTAAAACCAATAGCAATAACAAAGTTCGCGGATTTAATAAAAAAAATTTCGTGGATTTTCAAAGTTTAAAAATATTCTCTGACCTTGTAGCCAGGTTCCTGAGAAGACCATCTTCTCCATGACGGATTGGTAAATCTTCATATTCAGCGCTGGCGGAGATGATCTCAATCAAACCTCGTATCTTCGTCTTGCTGTTCAGGGACATTGAGAACAGTTCTAGAGCACAGGACAAGATTAGTTTTATCTACTTACTTTAAACATCTCCAGGGGCGTATTCAAGAGTTTGTCCAAGGGGGAGGGGGGGCTTAATTTTTCTTTCTTTCTGGGGGAGGAGACTCAGCACCTGTTAGGGCCAAAAAAACTGAAAACGAAAGATTTTACTGATCCAAGCCCTCCTTTAATTTACAATTTCTATAATCTCTATCCTGACCTATGGTTGTATAGTTGATATAGTAGTATGCAGCAATCATGCCCAGGTTGAGCGGAGCAGTATCCATGTCATCCTCAACACTGATACATTTACTGTGCTCCAGTTCAGACAACGTGGTTTCAACCATCTCCGATAGATGATCAGACAGATGACGGTATGTCACACCCTGAAATAGTGAACCTGTAGGTTGTATTTAGCGAATTGAGTAAATGAACCTGTAGGTTGTATTTAGCGAATTAAGTTAATGAACCTGTAGATTGTATTTAGCGAATTAAGTTAATAAACCTGTAGGTTGTATTCAGCGAATTAAGTTAATGAACCTGTAGGTTGTATTTAGCGAATTGAGTAAATAAACCTGTGGGTTGTATTTAGCGAATTAAGTATATAAACCTGTATGTTGTATTTAGCGAATTATGTTAATAAACCTGTAGGTTGTATTTAGCGAATATAGTAAATGAACCTGTAGATTTTATTTAGCGAATTAAGTTAATGAACTGTAGGTTGTATTTAGCGAATTAAGTAAATGAACCTGTAGACTTTATTTAGCGAATTAAGTTAATGAACTGTAGGTTGTATTTAGCGAATAAAGTAAATGAACCTGTAGGTTGTATTTAGCGAATAAAGTAAATGAACCTGTAGATTGTATTTAGCGAATAAAATAAATGAACCTGTAGATTGTATTTAGCGAATACAGTAAATGAACCTGTAGATTGTATTTAGCGAATAAAGTAAATGAACCTGTAGATTGTATCTAGCGGATAAGTTAATGAACTGTAGGTTGTATTTAGCGAATTAAGTAAATGAACATGTAGGTTGTATTTAGCGAATTCAATTAATGAACCTGTAGGTTGAATTTAACGATTAAATTTAATGAACCTGTAGGTTGTATTTAGCGAATAAAATAAATAAATCTGTAGATTGTATTTAGCTAAGAAAGTAAATGAACCTGTAAATTGTATTTTAATTTAGCGAATAAGTTAATGAACTGTAGGTTGTATTTAGCGAACTAAGTAAATGAACCTGTAGGTTGTATTTAGCGAATTCAATTAATGAACCTGTAGGTTGTATCTAGCGAATTAAGTAAATAAACCTGTAGGTTGTATTTAGCGAATTAAGTTAATGAACCTGTAGGTTGTATTTAGCGAATTAAGTAAATGAACCTGTAGGTTGTATTTAGCGAATTAAGTTAATGAACCTGTAGGTTGTATTTAGCGAATTAAGTTAATGAACTGTAGATTGTATTTAGCGAATTAAGTTAATGAACCTGTAGGTTGTAGTAGTTCGGGTTCTGAGTCATTCTTCGGTAGATGTAGGTCCAGGTCATATAATCAACAGCGTCCTAAAAATTTACCAACATATATATTATCTCTACAAATGTTAAAAAATCAAGCATTAAATAAAATAAACCCAAGCAACAAAATCTTATCAAAAACCAAGCAAATAATCAAATTAATAAGAAATGATCAAAAAACAATTTGAATATTAATCAAATAAATATAAAATCAGTCACATAATTAAAGAATCAGTCTGTTATGCTATCAGTTAAAAAGAAGGTGGAGTGATCAGACAACAGCTATCTTTGTAAATTAATCAATAACCTTGCCAACCAATTAAAAAACAATCAAGTAATTAAGTGATCAATTACCAAGAGATAAAGATATCAAGAGATCAAGAGATCAAGAAATCAAGAAATCAAGAAATCAAGAAATCAAAAGATCAAAAGATCAAAAAATCAAAAAGTAAAAATCAAGAAATCTTGAAATCAAGAAATCATGAAATCAAGAAATCAAGAAATCAAGAAATCAAGAAATCGAGAAATCGAGAAATCGAGAAATCAAGATATCGAGAAATCGAGAAATCAAGAGATCAAGAGATCAAGAAATCAACTATTACAGTAACCAAAAGATTAATCTACGAGACCAGGGAATGGATCAACAAATGATCAATAAAGATGATCAACTATACCTGCTTGTTCTCAATGGTCTTAGTAACGATCTCAGCGTTGAAATGATCGTGAAGACAATGATCAAGATGAGACTCTATGGGGAGAGGTTCGTACAGGAACTTCTTAAAGAAATCCTTCTTTGAGTTCTGACACATCAGAACACACTTAGCGTCTGTATCCTCTGTTGGTCTAATACAAACATAATATTACTTAACTAGCTAAAGTGCCCGGCGTTGCCAATGGAATTTTTTTTAAATCAATTTTTTTTGATTTTTGAAGAACAGAATATTTTTGATTTTTTAGTTTATATTCCACTTATTTACTAGCTTAGAACACAGCATGGCTTAAGGGAGTCATAGTCAGTCCGACCATTTACCCGCCCCTTGTCGTAAATTTCAATTTTAGCTATTTTTCCCGTTAAAAGTAGACACACTCAATTTAGAATATCAAAACCAAGCCAAGAACATACCGGGTAACCAAATCAAAATTTGTAGTTATGATCGGACAAACAAACAGGGTTACAATTTTATATATAGATACTAGCTTGGGAACCCAGCGTTGCACAGGGTATTCATAGTTACTTCCACCGTTTACCCGCACATAAACGATTTTACCGAGAAACTAAATTTTCGCTATTAAAGTCGATCCACTCAACATAAGAATCTCAAAACCATACTAAGAATCCCGAGTACCCCAATCTAAATTTGAGACCAAACAGATTAATCTGACCTGTTTGCTCTGCCCAGCATCTGCAGGATATCCGTGACAGGATAATCATGGTAAGCGTGAAGCTTCCCGTTGTAGTATTGTGTATCCATGATAATAACAAGATGCGCCTGGATAGTCAGCGCCCAAACCAGAGCACGCGCAGCAACAACAACCTTAAAGAAATCAAGTCAAGTCAAGTCAAGTCACATCACATCAAATCATTCTACAAAGAAATAAAAAAATTATGATTTAAAATCCGCATATCTAAAAACTTGCGCAGAAGTTATTTCACGTTTACCTGAATTGCTCCTGAGTCGAAGAGTGACTCTACGAGCCTCCTGTCCGTTGAGCTGAGCCCCTCATGCATAAATGCAACTCCTTGGCTTAATGTCTCACGAAGCGTCTTGTCCTGTAAAATCAGAAATGAACACAGAACTGATTAACAGCAACAACAACAAAATTATTTAAATACCAGCTGAAGGGCCCGGCGTTGCCCGTGACAAAATTTGAAGATTAAAAAAAATTCGAATTTATTTTAGCCTTTAACACCCCCTGGCCACCCATGAGTGTCAACAACAAAAAATTCAGCCCGATCGGTCCAGCCGTTTGGCCGGCTATAGACAACATATATATACGAATGTCTTGTTTTATTATATAAATTTCTTTTAGCAAGGAAATCTTGAATATTTGAATATTTTGACCTGTATTTTAGTAAGGAAATCTTGAATATTTTGACCTGTATTTTATCAAGGAAAGCTAAAATATTTGAATATTTTGGCTTGTATTTTAGAAAGGAAATCTTGAATATTTGTATATTTTGACCTGTATTTTAGCAAGGAAAGCTTCAATATCTTCCTGTTCAGCGTGTAGAAACCTATCCGGCTGGTTTTCAGCAGCAGCATAGGTTAATAGATCGATGGCTAAAATATGTATTTTAGATTTTAGATTAAAGATATTGAAAATTTGAGACAGTAATTATCTGTTATTCAAATATCAAGTCCACTGGCACGTTTACCCCATTTCTGCCATATAAATATAAAAATATAATCCGCCAAATAAGCAACGGAAATAGTTTTCAACTCCGTGTAACATTTCAATTCTTAAAAAAGGTAAATAAAATTAAACATTGAACACCACAATCAATAAATTCGGAAAATGTAAAATTACGTAATTAAACTTTAACCCTCTTCCACCGCCCGGCCCACCCAACAATTCTAATTTTCGATTTGATCATTTACAAGATTTTTCATAATTTAAGTTCCAGTAAAAAAATGTTCTTATTCTTATTAATTTTTATTATGAAAATTTAACCTGTGAGCCTGGTTTGTTTCCTGCTTGGTACAAACACAATGACCGGCTTGCGAGGTGCGTGCTTCACAATCGCGTTGTAAGTCGGCTTTGCCATAGACACGATTCTACTAGCGTTGTGAGTCATGTTGAATCCCTGAATACACAGAAGATAAAATCTATATAAATACTTTGCTTGTCTGCCTGTCTGTCTGTTAATTAGTATCCAAAAATTGGCAAAACGGCAACACCGATCGTGCCCAAATTTTGAGTGGGGCCTCACATGACCCCATGGAAGGTTAATGAATGATCAAAATTTCAAAAATTGGCCTCCAACAAACTTCGATTTTCATTCAATTTTGAAAATCCACGATTTTTTTATGATTTTTTTTTACAAAGTACACGAAGAGAAAATGTTTACACTTAAAATAGAAGATGGACTGAAAGCCTAGTAATTAGTATAATATATTTTCACAAGACTTTCTTTCTGACTCACATGAACACAAATAAAATTATTTTGTTTGTTTGTTTTGATAGTGTTTGTGTGGGGGCTGAAGTATTATGTTATAAGGAAAAAATACCGATAAAACGAAAGAAAAAAAATACTTTATGGTGTAGTAACTTAACGTTGAGCAGGTAAGATTAAACACATCAGTCATCCTTTCAGTTCATTTCGAAATTGAAATATTTAAAAAATATTATTACCTGAATATGAAGTTCAAGGGGAACAGGACGTACATTAGGATGGAAGTTAAATGTAGAGTTATTCCCGGCTCCAAGCCATTGAGATACATCCTTACAGTTACTCAGGGAGGAGGATAAAGCCAGGATACGGATAGCTTTCTCTAGCTGAGAGGAGATATATCTCATCCTGGAGCAAACTATCTCAAGAACAGGTCCTCCTTCTCCTCCCAAAAGCTGTAGCTCGTCAACGATGAAGAGATTGATGTTCTGCACGTTCTTTCTCTGCTTCCAACGCCTGCTAAGCACGTCCCACTTCTCCGGGGTTGAGATGATCAGGTTTCCCTTGGCTAGCAGTTTCAGGTCGGTTCCTGTTTCTCCAGTCAAGATCACAACCTGGAGACAAAATAATAATTTAACTATCAACTTAAGATTTAACAACAAAGATTTAGATTACGAAAGATTCTTACCTTTAAACCAAGCGGAGTGAATTTCCCATGCCAATCTGCGTACGCAATATCGGCCAATGCGTCCTTCGGCGTAACATATACGCATCTGCCTTCAGGGTTCTGGGAGAAAAGACGCATTATCGCCATCTCGGCACAGACAGTTTTCCCTGAACCGGTCGGAGCTCCGACAAATACGTTTTCATCTCCGTTGTATATAGTGTTGAAGACCTGGGTCTGGATTGGGTTAAATTGTACGAAGTTCTCCTTGTACAGATTCTCATATTCCTTGTTCCTACACAATACATCAGTAAAACAGTACAATAGTACAAAAGTACAATTATACAATGGTACAATAGTACAATTGTACAATTGTACAATTGTACAAAAGTACAATTGTACAATGGTACAATCGTACAATCGTACAATTAGTACAATAGTACAATAGTACAATGGTACAATGGTACAATAGTACATTAGTACAATAGTACAATAGTACAATAGTACAATAGTACAATAGTACAATAGTACACTAGTACACTAGTATAATAGAATTATAGTACAATAGTACAATAGTACATTAGTACAACAGTACAATGATGAAGAAAAAAAATCTATTTATAAATCATTCTCATTTTAGAAAAAATTATTAAGGAAAAACGTAAAATTCCTTGGAAAACTGAGATCGTTCACTTAAACCGATCCCACACTTTCTGCTTCCTTCACTAAATCTGCTCCCACATCTTCCTTCTATTTTTAACCCTATCCCTGCTGGGTTACTTAAAAACTAGGTTACGCTGGGTGGGGGGTCAATTCCCCCCCCCCTCCCTCAGAATCCCATGTTTGATGTCCAAATATGATAAGCCCTTGACCATTTCAAATATGCAAAAACTCTTGCAAAATTTTATATAAATATTGTGTAAGAAAAAAAACTAAAAATGTGCAAATTTCTTTTGACAGAATGTATGCAAATAATTTGCAAAACTTGTGCAAATCGTTTCCTTATTTTATAGGCTATCCAAAAAGCTAAAAATTATCAAAATCTGACAACTGAAAGTGGGTCAAAAGAAAGATTTAGTTGATTAAAAGAAAAAAAGTCATTCAGGCAGTGTTCTTGAGGACTCAGGCAGTTAGTATCAAGCCAGGTTTAAGACTCAATGGGAGTGCCATTGGTATTTAGGAAGTCAAAAAATTTTAACAGCCTCAGCCCCATAATTTAAGTTATTTAAAATAGACCTTCAAGAGGGGGGGGGCGATTTGACCCTCCCCCTCCCCAGCAGGAATAGGGTTAATCTGTTCCCACACCCTCCTTTTCTGTAATATTACCTTAGGGCGGATACAGGGAGAGGTTGCAAATCCAACAACTCCGTTGGAGGAGGATTCTTCTCTGGTAGGATCAGATGCCGGAATGAGACAGGAAGCTGAGTCTCACTGGCGATCCAACGATCACTGATCACCCGGATGAAGTAGAGCGGAGGCAGAGGCTCAAACACCGGCACAAAGAACTTGATCACATGCTCGTCCTCGGCAAACTTCTTCTTGAGAAGGAAGAACTCGTTGTGGAGGATGATCTCGGAGTCAACGTCCTCCACAAGGATCCAGAAAGCCTCGCTGTGTCCGTGAACCTTCTCGTCCCACTGGAAGTCTGGTGTAAGGGTGAGCTCCATCCTGAGCGTCGACCTCGTGATCGGTTGGATGTGGGAGACCAGATCCAACTTGGGAAACTGATGAACATATTTGTGAATTGTTTTACCAAGTTTCGGCATACGGATCAACTCTCCGATCTCGTTGGGTCCAAGGTCGTAGAGCCGCTCCCAGGGGAATGATTTCTTCTCGATCTTCTTGATTACCTCCTCCGGCATCTTCCGGAACTGTCGGAGCGGAGACATACTCTGCCACATCCGTTTGTCAACCATCTAAGAAAGAAATGACATTGAGAGATAAAAATTTATACTCAAATAAAAAAATAAACAACCCAAAACCGTCATTTTTTGCTCAAAAGTTTTTTTTCAGGACTTTAATTCTTTTTAATGCAAAACATTGATTTGAATCTAGGCTGAGGAATAAAATGTGAATTTTAAACCCCTTCTAAATTATGGACCTTAACAAATACTTAAAGATTATCCAACCTTGCTCAAAGCCAGGCATTTATCCACCAGCTGAGCCCAACCACGGAACAGAACTATCTCAAATATTGCTCTGATCAACCTAAAGAAAACCTCATTTAAAAACAAAACAATAATAAATATTCATGATAAAACCGTGAAATATTTATAAATGGATATTCATAATCAATATTCATCCTTGATAAAATCAAAGTATTAGGGATACCTTAAATGTGAATATCAAAGCATTCCTCAAATCTAATTCAATCAAAAAAATTTGTAAGATTGACTCTTAAGATCTGGGTTATATTTAAAAATTAAAATAAAATAAAAGTTAGAAAGTAAAAAAACAGCGCAAATCAAAAATGACTGATAAGTTTAAATTAGAAAAAAATTTATGTTTTAATTACCTAGCAGCAGACTGTGTGACATAAACCATATCTGCCATCAGAGCAAACCCTTCAAGCTTGAGCTGGGAGATATAGGCTTGTAGCAGGATATTTACTTTAGCACTGGGCTCTTCTATGCTCTCCTAGATAGATAGGATATATATATATTATATGTATATCAATAGAGGCTTGTAGCAAGATATTTACTTAAGCACTGGGCTTTTCTAGTCTCTCCTAGAAGAGAAAATAGAATTGCTTAAGCTTATTAATAGAAAGAAAATAATAGAAAAGATGGAATATTAATAGAAAAAATAGAAAGTAGAAAAGATAGGTCGAATAAAATCTGACCTTGATAGGAATAGGAACACGTTCCATTAGTTTCTGAAGTTCCAACTTCTCCTCATCTCTTACAGTTATATTCCGGAACTCTCCGGACAGAGAGAAAACCCTGAAATAATATGGTTGAAGAGAAAACACTAAAATAATATGGTATATACAGTACATAAGGATCTCGGTATTTGTACAGTCTAGGAGAGAACATTTGTTTATTGTTAATTATTTACTTAAAATTAAGTTTAATATAAAGCCATTTCCCTTCCCTTCATTTTTATTCCCTGCCAAAAAAACCATGCTAATGTCTAAAAGAATTATCACCTGAACAACTCAATCTCTGACAGGTTGGGTTTAAGTAAGGTATTGTACGTGTACATTGTCTGATGTGTACAATAGTAGTGACTGCTGATTCGACCTGAATTTAATAAATCATTAGAATTATTTACAAATTCTTAAATTTCCCGGGAAATAGTTGTTCACAATTTTATCGTCTTTTGAGATGTAAATACGCAAAATAATGGGGGAATGAGTCGGTAAAATAATGGGGGAATGAGTCGGTAAAATAATGGGGGAATGAGTCGGTAAAATAATGGGGGAATGAGGCGGTAAAATAATGGGGGAATGAGGCNAATGGGGGAAAGAGTCGGTAAAATAATCGGGGAATGAGTCGGTAAAATAATGGGGGAATGAGGCGGTAAAATAATGGGGGAATGAGCCGGTAAAATAATGGGAGAATGAGGCGGTAAAATAATGGGGGAATTAGGCGGTGACATAATGGGGGAATGAGGCGGTAAAATAATGGGAGAATGAGGCGGTAAATTAAATAACAATTAATGAATGCATTGAGTTCATGAATCATTAGATATCGGTATCATGAGAATTTGTTTTACTGATGAACCCTCAGTAGTTCAACGAATCGACGAAACAAACTATCTATTTAGTCCGATAACCATTAAATAAACGGACCACCAAAACATTGATTGATAAAAAACTTATCAAGTATTAATGAATTCAATGGCCAATCAATGCAATTTAGTGGACCGATAAATCAATCGACAAATGATCAATAAATCAATGGACAAATGGTCAATAAATCAATGGACAAATGATCGATAAATCAATGGACAAATGATCAGTAAATTAATGGACAAATGATCAATAAATCAATGGACAAATGATCAATAAATCAATGAACAAATGATCAATAAATCACTTAAATCCAATTTCTTGCTAATAAAACTAGTTAACCGTTTTTCAGGTGGAACCAGTGCTTAGGATTCATTTAATTTTGATGCGAATTTGGATGCAGATCTAGTTCATGAAGATTTAATTAAGATTCACTGATTAATTTGACAGAAAAAGAATTTTCGAATTATTTTACTTTCTTTTTTAATTTATCTTGATACAGAAACTTGAAAGACCATTCATAGATAAAAACATTTCTCTTTTTTAAGCAGTTAAGATCAAGTGTTGAGAACAAAATATTTTTTCCCCTTGAATGGTTGATATTTTGCCAGGGTCTGTGGATCCGGATCCAGGAAGCCAAAATGTTGCGGATCCTATGCACTCTGGTTGGAACTAAGTTTATTTACTATTTATTATATTTTACTTACCTAGCTCAGTGGTTTGGAAATTTCCAGATTTTCGATCGTACTTGATGAGCGCGGATTTCTCCAGTGCGCATGCCGCGGTGTGAACAAGATTGGCGCGCCACTGCTCAAGCTTGGGATCATCTTCACGGGCGTCCACAGGGATACCGTATAATGTTGGGTTCCGCAGCATTCTAATAATAATAATGATAACTAGCTGAAGTGCTCGTCGTTGCTTGTGGATTGAAAAAAAAACGAATTTTGAAAAAAAAAAATTGCAACAAAAAATTTTGTTTATAAAAAAGACACTTCGAAAAATGCTTCGGCGCAGAACTTAATCTGGTAATTTGGGCGGCTTAAGTCTTCCTCCGCCGGTACATCCTTGAAATCATCTCTGGATTGCTCAGCAGATTGACCCATCCAACATCTCAGAACAAAACCCTTCAGGTTATAACTTAAAATTTCCCTTTCATATTTAACATTTTAACTTTGTTTCACAGGATCTTATATTTTGATTTTGGTTTCACCAGTAACTCTAACATTAATACCTAAAATGGCCATCCTAGAGTTTGTTGAGAAAAAATTTACGAAAACAATTGACAATTTGATCCTGTTCAACATTGGCTTTCCTTGTTCATGTTGTTTTTTTTTCTCACAAAAATTCAAACTAGTAAAAATTATTAATAATTTTTAATCACTAAAAAATATATATTAGAAACTTTATAAAAAGTTGAATTATACGAAAAACTGTAATCATTTGTAAAACTTTGAGAGGGCGGACTGGCCTCCTTTCAGACTATGGTGTAAATTTGATTTTTGTAATTTTTTGAAGAAACAAGGGTAATACATAAGTATTTAGCGTTTCCAGTTTAAAAATCATAAAATTTCCCCTGCTAAATATAATCAAATTTCTTGATGCTCGTGGCTGGTTGGAGAAAATTTAGAAAAGGCCTGAGTTGTTTAAAAAATACATGTTTTTTCAAAAAACTAAAAAATGTTTATTATTACAAAAATGCTTTATAGTACGGGGGGAGGGGGTGGGGCTGATTTAAAATATATCTAAATATATTTACCTGATGAATAAGTAGGTGTATCCCAGCCACTGAGTAGCATCAGAAACTGTCTGCACTGTTCCTGATACTATCTCTGCATTTAACATGTCAGGTAACTAAATAGATAGATAGATATATAGTAGATAGATAGATAGAGATTACTTACTATCTATAGATTAATTGATTAAAAAATTGTTATGGCGCTCATTTTTTATGATATTAGAAATTAGTTTTTTGAACTGCTCTCTGTAATTTATATTATCTAGATTTGTGGAAAATAAAAAACATTTTTAACATTGCATTATTCTCGAAGCTTTTAAAAAAAATTATATCAAAAGGCAAATTTTATCAAACTTTTTGATACTTTTTACCTCAAAACATATTTACTTGCCACTAAGAATGTTTAATTGTTTTACCAAATAATCAAATAAAACCCCCAAAAACCGGCGCAAATATACCTAACATCTGGGGGAAAGTTGAAGCTTACCTTAGATATCATCTGCGATTCGATTGGTAGCTGTTGATTGAGCAGGGACAGGTAATATTGGAGCTCACTGTGATTTGTGATTAAAATACCTTCTCCCTAAAACAAATTAAATCAAATCATAATTTTAGGGCGGATGGCTTCAGACTACTTAATGTTTTGTTTTTGTTATGATAATTTTCATGACTCCTAGTGGAGTATATAAGAAAATTTCAGATTGTTGTTATGATATTCATGAGGTTGCAATACATATATCTCATTAATATGCAGAAAAAATTATATTTAATATTTTATAATTAAAAATAAAGGACAATTTTTTAAATTTTTTTTTTGTCGAATTTGTTCATTTATTTTTTGTTTTTATTTTTCGACCTTTTTTTATTTGGCCTTTCTGTTTTCTGTAATCTTTTTTTTGGGGCTCTTTTTGTACCAATAATAGAAACTAGAACAGATAAGTACTGTGTACTTCAGTACTGTGTACACTAAAGAAGATACGCAAAACATACCCATAATGAATAGACTTCCCTGCACCTCAACCCTCGACAATGTTACATTTACTCCTGAATTGATCAAAGCCAAAATTAAGAAGATGAAACCATCACCAACTCCAGGAGTGGATGGGTTTACAGTTCCTCTCCTGTATGTGATCAAATTTCCAAACCTCTGTCGCTTATTTACAACAAATGTATTCAGGAAAACAAAGTTCCAGCTGACTGGAGAGAAGCTAATGTGACACCAATCTTCAAAAAAGGGGCTAGAGGTAAACCATCCAACTATAGACCTATATCTTTAACTAGTGTACCCTGCAAAATAATGGAGTCCATTATTAAAGACCATATTGTAGACCACTTAACTAAAAATAAACTAATAAATCCTAGTCAACATGGATTTATGAACAATAAGTCCTGTCAGACCAACTTACTTGAATATCTGGAAACCATCACTGAAGCACTTGACTCAGGTCAGATTGTAGACATTGTGTACCTAGACTTTGCAAAAGCCTTTGACAAGGTCCCTAGAAAACGCCTTGTAACAAAATTCAGAGCTCATAGTATTGATGGAAATCTTCTGAACTGGATTGAATCTTGGTTAAGTGACAGAAGACAGAGAGTGGTCTTGAATGGTAAATATTCTTCATGGATGGAAGTTGAATCTGGAGTACCACAAGGAAGCATCTTGGGACCGGTTGGGTTTACTATTTATATAAATGATCTTGATGATCCAATACAGAATCTAGTAACACTGATTAAAAAGTTTGCTGATGACACAAAAACTGCAAAAATAATTCTTGATGATCAATGTATTTTAGATATGCAAGAATCACTCAATGAGCTCCACAAATGGGCAGAGAGATGGGGAATGGTGTTCAACGTCGACAAATGTAAAGTGATGCATATTGGGAAAAATAACCCACAACACAATTACACCATGAACGGACAGATACTTCAGAAAACCTCAGAAGAAAAAGATGTAGGTATCAGACACAATGAAACCTTCCCAACAATGCAAATGCTCAGCTGCAGCAAACCAAAAGCCAAGCAAGTTCTTGGCCAAATTTGTAGAGCCTTCCATTTCAGGGACAGGAATATATTCCTAAAACTGTACAAACAGTATGTTCGTGTTCACATGAAATTTGCTGTATTAAGTTGGAGACCCTGGACCCAACAGGACAAAGACAAACTAGAAAATGTACAACGCAAGGCAGTAAAGATTATCTCAGGGCTTCAGGGCTCCACATATTAAGAAAAACTTAAAGAATTAGGACTACAAATTTTAGAAGCCAGGCGTGAAAGATCTGACTTGATACAGACCTACAAAATAGTCCATGGTCTTGATGATGTTGACAAATCCCTGTGGTTCCAGCATGTGGCTGAAACTAGTGAACGCATAACAAGACAATCTGCTGATATACTCAACCTGAAACCAAAAAACTCAAAACTAGAACTGAGAAGGAATTGCTTTAGTAATAGAGTTGTAAACTCATGGAATAAATTACCACAAGATGTTAAATCCGCCAAAAATATTAATGTATTCAAAAACAAGTATGACTACTACATTAGATCCACAATGATCACTGGGATCAATTCACAAACCTAGAAGATACCACTCTTCCAGCAGATGATCATTAGTTCCTAAAAAAATCCTCTACATATTCCTAGATGGAACACTGAGGATCAACACACAAGTATCAAGTATCAAGAATTTTTCACATATTTATCATATCTAGATTTTAAAGTGTTTAGCGTTGGCGTAGTTTTTATATCACAAGGTAAATTAACAAATTAAATTGGCTTAAAGAATATCAGTTCTACAAAAATTGGCACGAAGTGAAGGGTTTAAGTTTCAAGTCGTTTGCGTTTTTCAACCCGGTCTCTACCAATTAATTGTCGGGTTGTTTTGAAATTTAAAGTCAGGTTTCAGATCTTGCGCGGATGTTTTGAAGACAAAATATTGGAATTTGTTCAATAAAGTTACTACTTCAGCTTGTAGACTGTAGAAATCACAGCACAAGACCAAATTTGAGCCATGTTGCCACTTTAACGTACTTGTCGATTGTTTCAGAAAACAATTTAGAAAAAAGTTCTTTTTTTCCAAGTACAAGGGGTTGGTACTTCCTTAGTGGACTTAGATATGATTTTTTTTAATTTTCATAATTTTTCAGGAATATCAGGAAAGATATCTAGATTATTCATCATGTTTTCGTATTTCCTTATTCGTGCTAAATCTCAACTGTTGTACAATAATACCCATAAATCTGTCGATTACAAATTAAAAGTTGTTAATGCTGTCGTTTTACGAGTTACTTAAAATAAAATTTTTAAAGTAAATTGGGTCTGTGCAAGTGTACAATTGCGGTGTTTTCTGTTCATTGGTAGAAGAAAAGGCATGACTTGAGTCCAACAGTTGTACTCCTATTCTACAGAGTTATGGGTCTTACTGTATAATATAGAAAGAACTAGGAAGATAGACCCGAGTCCGCGATTTAAAAGCTTCGACTCGAGATTCCTTAAACCCAGCTTTAAGACCTAATTTTAGACTTAAATCTGACGACAGCTTGTGTCACATGATTGACAGCTTGGTATCGTACAGCAATGTTTACATTGGTATCGTACTGCATTGTTAACCTTAGTATCTTACTGCATTGTTTATATTAATATCGTACTGATTTTTTTTAGGTATAGTACTGCATTGTTTACATTGGCATCGTACTGCATTGTTTACCTTAGTATCTTACTGCATTGTTTATATGGGTATCGTACCGACTTTTATTGGCATCGTACTTCATTGTTAACCTTAGTATCTTACTGCATTGTTAACCTTAGTATATTACTGCATTGTTTACACGGTTTTCGTAACGAGTTTTACTGGCATCGTACTGCATTGTTTACCTTAGTATCGTACTGCATTGTTTACCTTAGTATATTACTGCATTGTTTACACGGTTTTCGTAACGAGTTTTACTGGCATCGTACTGCATTGTTTACCTTAGTATCGTACTGCGGCCTACCAGCACGACCCAACATCTGAAGAACATCAAGAGCGGACAGTTCGACCCATTTCCCCTTGTCCGGGTTATAGATCTAAACAAACATAATATTCAAATATATTTAGAATATTCAGTGTTGGTAACGGTTGTGTTGGATACTCATAATTCAGATCGCATGATTACGATATCCAATGTGGGCACTTTTATTTTGACAAATCTCTTCATTTTAGTTATCCCTTCAAGGTATTCAACCTTGGATATCGATTAAATTGATCTCCCTTCAGGATATTCAACCGCGGATATCAATTACATTGATCTGCAGATTAACAAAAGCATTGATCTCGATATCCGCAATGCAAAGAGTTTGTCAAATAATTATAAAATTAAATCTTAGAAAATCTTAGAAAATTAAAGGAATAAATTGCGAAACAAAATTTGAAAACATTTCTCACAATTTGAATACATGAAGAAGAAACTATAAAACATTAAATCAAAAAATAAGGCTTTTTGCTCAAAGCTATAGCGGACCAAACTGCTGAACCAAATTGGCAAACATTGCCCCCATTGATATCCTGGGGGCAACATAAAGGCTAGAAACAAATCGAAATAGTTTTTATTTTTCGAAAATTCAACTGTTTTCTTTTTCAAAATTTAAGCCAACAGTGTAGAAAAGTACCTGAGTTCCCTTGATAATAACTGTATGCGCTGGTAGATTTACTCCCCAAGCTAGGGTTGCGGTCGACACAAGAACCTGAATATGTCGATCTGCAAACAAATCTTCGACTAGGGTTCGGTCAACACGCGACATTCCGGCGTGGTGAATAGCAAAACCGTAGGGAAGGAGGTCCTTGAGCTCCAGGTTCTTCACCTAAACGAAAAACTAAATTAGTCTACGAAAATAAAGAGCGTTTAGAGGTAATAGATCTGAAATACCGCCTGCAGGGTAACCAACCAAAATATAGAAAAAGAAAAACATGTCCATAAAACTTTAAGGTATATTAATATGCCGAATCTGAATCTAATTTCTTTCAAGACGTGGATCCAGATGTCTAGATTCATTTCAAGGACTGATCCCGGATCCTGATCAGCATCAAAATGGAATGGACCCTTTGTACTATAATGAGGATTGAGGAAGATCTGGACTCCTAGCTTCTTAAATTGAAACTTAATTAATTCAAGAAACCCCCAAAAAGAGGACACGACCGAAATTGTGACAGAAGAGTGAAAATTCACTGAACAATGTACCTGCTCCGCCTCCGTCCTTAGAACCTCCATAGAGGCACTTCCTTCCTTCAAGAATCCTCCAAGAGTATCCTTCTCCAAACATTGATCCCTAAATAAATGTTCATAATTATTGACTGCTTGACATTGATCCCTAATTATCCTTACTAATTATTATTCCTACATTGATCCCTATATATTTCTTTTAACATTAATTTCCTTACATTTGATCCAAGATAAACATTTTATATTGGCACGTATCTCATAAATATTAAATGATCCCACCTTAACATTGATCCCTAAATATTTCTTTAACATTACTATCTAACCATTTATTTTAAAGTAGATCAATTCTCGTGTTTATTGGGACACCCTGTGGCTTTATTGTAGGATTAGTTGGTATGATAACGATCTAGTGTCTAGTCTACCTGATAGCTCGAGCAGTTTTACCAGTTTCCTTACGACTGTGAACAAATATTAGAACCTGAACAAAATATGATTATTGACTACCCTGAACAATGTACATAGGGATGACCAATAGCCAGATTCGTTAAACAGAAACTTTGAATGTTTTTAGACTTTAAAAAGGTTTTACGACAATATGAGAAGGTTACAACATCTTAAAGCTTTATTCTGTAGAAATTTGCTTTTATCAAACATGTTGCCCTAGAAGAAAATAAAAGGCAAAAGCGATCGTTTTAAAACGATAGTTTTTGGGGGTTTTTAAACGATAGTTTTTGGTTCATTTTCGCCGTTTATTTTCACCTAGGATAACAAATTTGCATAATAGATAAAAGTAAAATTCTACAGAATACAATTTTAAATCGTTGGACCCTTCTCAGATTGTCGTTAAACCTTTTACCAAGTCTAAAAATATTAAACGTTTCTGTAAAACGAATCTTGCTATGGGCCTTCGCTACCTAGCTGTACAATGTACAATGTACAATTCTGATTAAATAATTATCTCAAATAGCTTTTGATCAAGAATTTCAGATTGAATCTTTTTCTTTTTTTCCCAACCACCCTCCCCTCCCCCCGGCCCCATCCCCAATAAATTAAAATAAGTTGGTTCTATCATTTGTTCTTTTCTCAAATATTTTAGGAATGTTTTTAAAAAGAAACTTTTTTATGTAAAAAGTATGAGAAGGGGGGAGGGAAACATATGCA